TGCCTCTGCCTCCCAAGAGCTGGGATTAAAGGTGTGCACCACTTTGGCCTAGCCTCAGCTCACTTGGAATGGAAGCCGCACACTACATGACTGAAACAATCTGGTCCAACTGCGCAAAGTTATAACACTTAAATTTTTTTTTCTTTTCTCAGCAGGATTCTTCTAGAATCCATTGGTCCTCCATTCCTGGTCTCTTTTTGGAATGTGTTTCCTATCAAATTCTCAGTTCTGGATCCGATGCCGCCTCGCCTATCTCCTGCTCTGAGGCTAGAAGCAGGAGCCGGGTGGGTGGATTTCTTTGCTCTGAACCCGTCCAGGCTGGACAAAGCGATATAGCACTCATCCCTGTCTGTGGACGCTCAAGAGGAACAGGAGTCCACACTCTGCCTCATTCATCCCTCCTCACCATGGTGGAAGCCCAACTCTGGTAGGGAAGGATTCTCTGCCCAAAAGAAGCTGTCGGTGGCACATTCCTCACATTCAGAGGGACCCTCTCTGGCTTCTCTTCCTAATTTGGTAATTGCCAAAGCTCCTCCTGCGCGCTTACTCCTCAGGGCCTGATGGGCAATCCTCTTCCTCCAGTCCCAGCTCCACATTTACCTCTCTGGCCACAGCCGCTTGCTCCCGGAACCGCCCAGCCAGCTGGGCCACGGAAGGCTGCGCTGAGCTGTCCACATTGGAGTTGGTCTCTGCCGATCTTTCCTGGCAAACAAAGGAGAGGCAAACGTTCATCAACAAGTGCACACTCCGCTCTTTGGAGGTCACATGGGATGCCATGAAAGGCACCTGTTTTGTGGTTCCATCAGGAATTCTGTGATGAGACATTTTTAAAAGTATTTTGCAATTGGTACCTATATCCAAATTTAAAAACAACCACACACACACACACATGCACATGCACACACACGCACATGCACACACACACGCACATGCACACACACACACATTCAATTATCTACATTTAGTGAGTAGCTACAATGTATTATACAGGATTCCAGATGTGCCCCTGGGGACAAATAAACCAAGGTGGGGCTGGAGGCAGTCAGGGAAGGGTCTCCCACTCTGCAAATACCCATCAAACATGGGAAGTATCAACAATAGTCAGCAAACCTCTTTCCTGTTTAATGACTCTAAAAAATGGGGGTTCAGTAGGGTGGCAAAATGCATTTGGAACCAGGGTCTTTGTAGGAAACAGAGAGAGCACTGCCCTTTCTAGAATTTTCACATCCAGATGTGATTTTTTTTAAAGGAGTTATTACTTTTTTAATATTTATTTATTTATTATGTATACAATATTCTGTCTGTGTGTATATCTGCAGGCCAGAATAGGGCACCAGACCCCATTACAGATGGTTGTGAGCCACCATGTGGTTGCTGGGAATTGAACTCAGGACCTTTGGAAGAGCAGGCAATGCTCTTAACCACTGAGCCATCTCTCCAGCCCCCGATGTGATTTTTTTTTAAATTTTGTTTTCCCTACTTAGCTGAATGCCGTGGGTAGTGGTGACCATTTATTAACGAACGACATGAGAGGCAGTAGCAGACCGGATGGACGAGGGCTGTGGAACTCAGAGACCTGCTCCAGCTCTCTCACTGCGGGCCAGCCTCGGCGGGGCGGTGCCAGTGTCTCTCATTAGGGCTGCTCTGAGTTTGGTGACTGTTTAACGGCTGTGGGTTGGTGAGGAAACAACAGGGTTGTTATTATGGCTGGCTTTGGGTCCAGCCTTCTGTCCTGGCCATTAGTTTATTGATATTTCAAGCCAAGATGCCTGAAGGGCACAGTCCATCCCATATGCTACTTGTCACTTTGACATAGAGAGTGAGTTACTGACCCTGCAAATGGCACCTCATTTCTGGTATACAGAATTTCTGGTCTCGTGGTCTACAAAGTAACCTGTTTTAGGTTACTTTCCCTCCCTCCCTCCCTCCCTCCCTCCCCGCCCCCC